CAGCAGCAGCAGCAGCAGCGGGAGGAACGGCCGTGGGAATGACAGCAGCAGCAGCAGCAGCAGCAGAACGAGCGAGGGAGACAAGGGTCGAGGTGTGGAGGCACTGTGCGGGCAGCAACTGTCTCTGCGTCGTTCACTCTCTCTCTCTCTCTGTATATAGACATATATACACCTACATATATATATATATATATAAATAGAATATATATATATATATATACGTATATAAATACATATTTATATTATATATTCATATATATATATATATATTATATATACATATACAAGTATATGTAAACACATATATATATGCGTAATCATATTATATACATATATACATATATATATATATATATATATTCTTGCCTTAGGCTGGGTTTTGAGTTTGTCTTTGCTGCACTTATCGGGGACAACAAGGAAGCAAACGCCGTCCCACTCTGCTGCTGTTTGTGGGGTCCCCACAGCCTGGGGACCGCCCGTTCCCGCTGCGTGGGGACAGACGACTCCAGTGCTGCTCTGCCCCACAGCCGCCCCACACACTTTGCTGCAGACACATACATATGTAAATGTGTGTCCAGTGCTAATGTGTATAAGACTCCCAGTTGCATATATATATATATATATGTACATGTATATATATATATATATATATATATTGACGTCTCTGTCTCCGGCTCTTTCTCTGTCTTTCTCTCTGTATATATATATATATATGTATATATATATATATATGTATATATATATATATAATTATGTAGTATACACATATATAGGTAGGCGGACAGATATGTGGCATATATATATATATATATAAGGAGACAGTTAGATGCTATGAAAGAAAGAAAATAAAGGAGATACTCAAGCAGAGACAAAGACAAAAGGAGACAGACGCTGCAGCACAAGGAGACAGAGCAGCAAGGACAGACAGAGACATATTTGTCTGCATGCACCACAAGAGCAGACACAGACACAGCAACGATGAGACAGACAAATAAATTATGTTTGTGTATATACAACAGGAGACAGAACAAACCCAATACAAGGAGACAGAGCAGAAAGGAGACAGATAAACAACTGTCTCCACTGTCTTTCTTACGTTGATAGCTCTCTTATCTTTGCCTCTAGACGCGCTGTCTCAGCTGCAGATACACCGCAGCATAGGAATGTTATTGCTGCGACCTCCTGTTCTTGCAGCAGCCTCCTGTCTCCTATTTTGCTGCTGCTGCACTTGACAGGCGTGTCGCTGCTGTCGCTGCTGCTCTCGCTGCTGCTGCTGCTGCTGCTGCAGCGGCGGTGGCGAGAGCGCAGCTGCTGCTCCTTGCGTCCGAGATGCTTGGGGCGCTTTCGGGTGTATGCGGACCTTTGTCCCCTGCTGCTGTCTCCTTCGCTGCTGCTGCTTCTGCTGCTGCTGCTGCTGGTCTCCCGTCGCTGTCTCTTTTGCGTTCTTTCCCTCTTCTGCTGCTGCTGCTGCAGCAGCAGCTCCTCCTGTCTCTCCAACTCCCGCTGCAGCGCTCGCAGCCTCGCCTCCTTTGCTTGAATCTCTGCTTCTAGATTAGACAGCAGGGCTTGCTGCTTCTCTTGCGGCTGTCCCCCTGCCTTCTGCTGCTGCTGGGTTTGCTGCTGTTGCTGGTGTTGCTGCGGGGGTTGGGGGTGAATAGAGACTGAGACTTTCTGCTGCTGCTGTTGCTGCTGCTTCTCCTCCCGCCGTTGCTGCTGCTTCTCCTCCCGCTGCTGCTGCTGCTGCTGCGGCTGCGGCTTTTGAAGCTTCTTCAGAAGAGCGGTGGTGTCTTCTTCTTCGTCGTCACTCAGGCCTAACAGCAGCAACCCGCGCTGCTGCTGCTGCTGCTGCTGTTGCTGCTGCTGCGTAATACAGGTGGGGACTTTCAGGTCGGGTTCCTTCTTCACAAAACTTGAAAGCCGCCGTTGCTGCTGCTGCTGCTGCTGTTGCTGCTGCTGCTGCTGGACTGGAGGGGAAGACTCAGGGGCCGGACCCGACAGGGTACAACTCCCCCTGCTGCTGCTGCTGTTGGTGCTGCTGCTGCTGCTGCTGCTGCATTTGGTGTCTGGTTCGGCCTTCGGATCCCTGCTCCAGTTGGGGCTCTTGACAGCAGCGGCATCGCTTTTGCTGCTGCTGCTGCAGCTGTTGCTGCTGCTGCTGTTGCTGCTGCTGCCGTTGTCAGTGTTGGGAAAGGCTTCTCTGTTCTCGTCAGCAGCAGGAGAGGAAGCCTCCGCTTGCTGGTGTACGTACAGCTCGGGGGGCTCCGCCTTCACACGTGGTGGCAGCTGCTGCTGTTGCTGCTGCTGTTGCTGCTGCTGTTGCTGCTGCTGCGGTTCTGTCTTTGCTTCATGTTGCGCTTGGTCCTCGCAAGCCTGCTGCTGCAGCGCCTGCTGCTGGTCTTCCACTCCTTGTCCCCCTTGCTGAGATTGCTGCTGCTGCTCCTGCTGAGATTGCTCGTGCTGCTGCTGTTGCTGCTGCTGCTGCGGCTGCGGCTCAACCTTAACCACAATTTTGCGTCCATCTGCTGGCTGTTGTGCAGCTCCTACAGCCGCTGCAGCTGCTGCTCCTGCAGCTGCACTTCCTGCTGTTTCTGCTGCCGCTCTTGCTGCTGCTGCTGGTGCTGCTGCTGTTGTTGCGGCTGCTGCTGCTGCTGTTGCTGCTGCTGCTGCACCTGGTTCTGTTTTCTGGTCTTCTCGAAAGGCCGTGAGGTGCGGCATCACCGGCAGCAGCGGCAGCAGCAGCTGCAGCAGGTCTGCCTGCAGCGCATCCGCCACGTTCCCCCTGTTGCTGCTGCTGTTGCTGCTACTGCTGCTGCTGCTGCTGCTTTCTTGTCGGACAACAGCCAGCAGCAGACGGCAGGGAACAAGTGCTGCAGTGTCTGAGATGCGCCAGTCGAGGAAGTGTGCAGCCCTGCTTGAAGGCACTGTCTCCTTCCACTTCTTCCCTTGCTGCTGCTGCTGCTGCTGCTGCTGCTGCTGCTGCGGGGGTGCAGCAGCAGGGGCGGGTGGGGGGCACAATCCGCAAGCTGTGAGATGGTCTGCTCGGTTGAGAAAGGCTGCTGTTGCTGCTCTTGCTGCAGCAGCAGCAACAGAAGACGCCATTCTGCTGCCGTCAATAAGGTCTCTATTGTGCTGCTCTGCGGTGTACATACACCGCGGCCAAGGAGAAAAACCCAAAGGATGCACTAAACACTCCAGCAGCACCTGCACCCGGCACCCAGCTTCCTGAACAGCAGCAGCAGCAGCAGCAGAAGCAGCAGCAGTAGCAGCAGCAGAGGCAGCAGAAGCAGCAGCAGCAGAAGCAGCAGCAGCAGCAGCAAGACACACACAATGCACAATGCAGGAACAGCTCGTGGTAGTAGTACCGGCAGCAGCAACAGCAGCAGCAACAGCAACAGCAGTAGAAGACACGTGCAGTTCTTCTGGACGGGGTTTTCGGTGGGGCTGCTGCTGCTTGAGTGCCTAGGGTTTAGGGTTTAGGGTTTAGGGTTTGTGTGTACTTTGAGGTGTATGTACGGGGCGAAGGCAGGATCTGCAGCATATGCAAACGAAGGAGAGACAAACAAAGCCCCCTTTGCATGCAGCTTCTCTTTGAGGGGCCCCGGAGACCCCACAGGAACGCCTCTAGCGGAGGAGAGTTTGGAGTCGATCCCAGAGCGGGAGGCGACGACTCCCGATCCCGCCACAGAGGCCAGAAAGGCCCCCACATCTTCGGGGGCCCCACTGCCTATACACTCCGAATCTAAAGGCAAATAGCACGGGTAGAAGCGCTGATAGAACCAACCACCGCACTCTTTGCACTTGTAGCTGCTGCTGCTTCCTGCTGCTGCTGCTGATGCTGCTGCTGCTGGTGTTGCTGCTGTTGCTGGTGCTGCTGCTGTTGCTGTCGCTGCCGCAGACTCCCTGGCAGCCACATTTGTGAGGGCTGCTGCTGCTGCTGAGGTGCATAGACACCCCAAACGCGCTGTCTGTGGGGAGTCTAAAGGGACAGCAATGAAATGCAGAGGGCGAGAAAAAGGTAAAGGAGGAAACCCTGCGGTGTACGCACGCCCCGGTAGTGCTGTCGTGCTGCAGGGCCTCTTCCCGCTGCTGCTGCTGCTGCTGCTGCTGCTGCTGCTGACGAGTCGGTAACACTCTATCGCGTCCAGTCGCAGCAGCTCCCCAGGGATTCCAAGGCAGTCTTGCAGCAGATGTGGGGTGAGTTGTTCAGCCTTGCATTTGCTCCTGCTGTTGTGGCTAGTGCTACCGCTACTGCTGCTGCTGCTGCTGCTAATATTGCTGCTGCTGCTGCTGCAGTTGGTGCTGCTCATTGTGACTGGGTGTTGGTGCAAAGGGCCGCCCCCCTGCTGGGGATCGGATCCCATGAGGGCAGAAGAAGACACCCCAAACAGAGCGCCGGCCTCGCCATTCAAATTTGCTGCTGCTGGGGCCCCCCAGTTCCTGCTGCTGCTGCTGCTGCTGCTGCTGCTGCTGCAGTTGCAGTCTCCAGAGCAGGACCCCACACAACTGGCTGCATGAGGCTCTTCTACTTTGGCAAGAAGGAAGTAAGAAGATGCGCAACAACGCGAGCAGCAGCAGCAGCAGCAGCAGCAGCAGCAGCAGCAGCACGGGGGTGGTGAGGTCGTTGGGTTTCTGTCGGGGCTGCTGGCGAGACGCCCTGGGGGCCCCTGGGGCCCCTGGCTGGTTGCTGCATCTTCCCTATGAATAAAAATATAAATAAATATAGCAGCAACTTTAGCAGCAGCAACAGCAACAGCTCCTAAGAGGGAGGGCCTGTTCACTTGCTGCTGCAGTGGCTGCGTTGCTGCTGCTGCTGCTGCTGCTGCAGCGGAGCAGCATGCGGAGCTAAACACTGCTGACTCTTTACTCATTGCTCTCTCTACCTTTCTGCTGCGGTGTCTGCCCTCCATGCTGCATGCGGCTGGCATCAAGGATCCCCAGCAGCGGAAACAGGAGCAGCAGCGACAGCAGCAGCGGCAACAGCAGCAACAACAGCAACAGCTGCAGCAATAGCTGCAGGAACGCCTAGGGCGCGACACAGGGACAGCGTCTATGCGGCATTTGCATATACACCGCAGAGCACTGTAGCTGCAACAGCAACAGCAACAGCAACAGCAGCAGCAACAGCAGCAGCAGCAGCACTGGCTGCTGCTGCTGTCTCGAGGATGTCTGTGGCGTGTGTGTGCTACGTGGGGAGGCAGGCGAGTCTTTACTCTTATGGGGTGTCTCTGCAGCAGCTTCATTCTCTCTGTCTCCTTCCGTTGCTGGTGCTGCTCTCTCTTGCCCCCTTGACTCCCTGCTCAAACCTAGCTGCTGCTGCTGCTGCTGTTGCTGTTGCTGCTGCAGAGCGAGCCGCTTTGCTTCCGGGTATATGGAGACACTGAAGAGCTGCCCATGCAGTTTGCTGCATATGCTGCTCTGGACGTTGTGGATGAACGCCGTGAGGCCCACCGCCTCCCTGCTGCTGCAGCTGCTGCTGCTGCTGCTGCTGCAGCTGCTGCTGTGGCTGCATGCGCTGTGTGGCGTTTCTTCTATTGCCGTAGCAGCTACTGTATCTAAAGCGGTTGTTGCTGCTGCTTCCAGTGCTGCTGCAGCTTCATTCAGTGGTGCTGGAGCTGCTTCCTGTGCTGCTTCTGCTGCTGCTTCTGCTGCTGCTTCTGCTGCTATTAAGTATTTTTCTTTTCTTTTTGCATGTGTATGTGTGTTTATTTGTCTCAGTAGCAAATGAACAGCAGCCTGGGGCCCCTGGGGGCCCCTCTGGAGGAGACAGTTTCTTAGGGTTTGCGTGCCCTGCACTGGGGACTCTAAACGACTTCTCTTTATATGCATATGCATCGCCAACTGGTCTCAAAATTATTGTCGCCCTCATTGTTAGGGGGGCCCTTCAGGAACAGGAACTGCGCGCGGTAAGATGCAGCAGCAGCAGCAGCAGCAGCAGCAGCAGTAATAGTAGTAGAAGTAATAGTAGTAGTAGTAGTAGTAGGAGTAGTAGGAGCCGCAGCAGTAGTAGAAGCAGCAGCAGCAGCAGTAGTGGCATTAGTAGAAGCAGCAGCAGTAGTAGAAGCAGCAGCAGCAGTAGTAGTAGTAGCAGCAGCAGCAGCAGCAGTGGTATTAGTAGCAGCAGCAGGAGTGGTAGTTGCAGCAGCAAGAATAGTAGTACTAGTAGCTGCTGCTGCTGCAGTTGCTCATGCTGGTGCTGCTGCTACTGCTACTGCTGCTGCTGCTGCTGCTGTTGCTCATGCTGCTGCTACTGCTGCTGCTGCTGCTGTTGCTGCAGTTTTTTAAGAGACTCCATCGGCTGTACGCTGACGCTGTTTCTAATCCCTTCTTCTCTGGCACCATCGAGACCCCCCGCTTCCTCAGCCAACTGGGTTAGCCTAAACCCTAAACCCTAAACCCTAAACCCTAGAGGCCCTAGAGGTTGAGGTAGACTCCTTAGGGCCCCCCAACTGGCAACGGGCAACAGAGGCAGCAGCAGCAGCAGCAACAGAAGAAGAGACAGCACAGAGACAAAAAGGGATATAGGGCTTAGACAGGAGAGCTGCAGAAGAGCTCAGGGTTTAGGGTTTAGGGCTTAGGGTTTAGGGTTTAGGTGTGGGGTTTGTGAGCAGACGCCGTTGTGCAGCACTACACCGTCCGCCTCGAGTCCCCTTGAGGTGTCTCCTCACATTATAAAAACGTACGCCTGCAGCAGCTGCTGCAGCAGCTGCAGCAGTTGCAGCTGCAGCAGCAGGAGCTGCAGCAGCAGTTGCAGCAGCTGCAGCTGCAGCGCTTGCAGGAGAAACAACTGCAGCAGCAGCAGTTGCAGCAGCAGCAGTTGCAGCAGCAGCAGTTGCAGCAGCTGTTGCCCCTGTATGCATGTGCCTCTGTATGTCTGTCTCCGTCTCTGTTTGAGTGTAGGTTTGTTTCTGTCTCTGCTGCTGCTGCGTCTTTCTCGTCTGTCTCGTCTGTCTCTGTCTCCTGCTGCTGCTGCATGTCGTCTGCTGCTGTCTCCTTTGCTGCTGTCTCTGTTGTGTGTTTCTGCTTCTCGCAGCCCCGCTGCATTCAGGTGTCTCTTCGTCTCCTCTTGGGGTTAATCGTTGTTCTCTGCTGCCAGCAGCTGCAGCTAAACCCTAAACCCTAAACCCTAAACCCTAAACCCTAGCTGAGGGGGGGGCGAAAGGAAGCATTTGATAAAAACATATATCAGGAGTTATTATAAAGAGAGTTGCCTCTCTTTTGGTCTAGGGTTTGAGTTAATTAGGGTTTTCTTTCTATACAGAGTTTATTAGGGTTTAGAAAGCAGCAAAGTAGTTTAGCGTTTAGGGTTTAGGGTTTATCATGCGAGGGTTTAGGGTTTATCATGCGAGTGTTTAGGGCTTATCTTGGAGGGTTTAGGGTTTATGAATAGTAACAAGGGTTTTAAACAAGATGTCTAAGCTCTTCTAGCTGAGAGCCTACTCCTCGTGTAAGTAGAACAGCAACAGTAGCACAGCTAAGAGCAACAGCAACATGCGAAGTTATAACAGTAGCTGTTGCATAATAAAAAAAACCTGTCTTCCAGTCTCTACAGCCTCCAAGTGTCTCTCCTTCACCCCAGATCCTTCTTGAAGACTGCATGAAGACTAGCAGACCCCAGGCTGCTGCGCATATATCTCCTATAGACATCGACATCGTTACTAAAGAAGCCACCGCCCACTCTCTCTCCGTGCCCCACGACTCGCATGATAATAAAGAAAAATAAAATATCATCGCAAAGGCTACCGCTGCAGCAAACACAAGCAGCAGCAGCAAAAGCAACAGCAAAGGCAGCAGAAGCAACACAAGCACACGCAGCAATGAAGAGAGGGATATGCTTATTATTAGGGTTTCTGTTAGGGTTTATACTGTATTAGGGTTTTTATTAGGGTTTATTTATAAATAGGGTTTATAATAAGGCTGCTCTTAGGGTT